AGTTTCATTTCGATGAGAGCCTTCACGGTGATACGGGTGTTCTTGGTACCTATCGCTTCAGGATCTATGGGGCAGGCCGTCCGGCCAAGAAGAATCGTTTCTCTCCCTATGGCTACGTGTCCTTATCTCCCTCTAGGGAGCTCTTTCTCTTAGAGGGCGTGTTGATCTAGGATGTTTTTTTCTTTCGAGTGGGGCGGTCCGAGCATGGGTTGCGCTGACGCAATTGGTGGTGAGCACATCTTCTAGGGGCTCGTTCGGAGGAGAAGCTCCGGTCGCTGAGGGTCACTCTCTCTTCTGATTCGTAAAGTTCCACGACCGGTGGGGTGGAGTGAATATGGATGGAATCCGAAAGATCGTTTTCCGTAGGAGATGGCTCTTGGAAGTCGGCTCCGCCTACAGTAGCTACGTATTGCGCCACCGCCTCTATCGCTGCCCAAGCTGCTGCTTTGGCCGCCGTTTCATTCATCATGTCTTGTGACTCCTCTGCCGACATCTGAATGACCGGTTCTGAAGACCTCGCTGGGTGGGCCGCTCTCGTCGTTCTCTTCCTTCGAGGCGGATCCGCGATCCCGCTGGCACCTTGAGGGGGCGGGTTGAGACTGCCTTGACCACCTCCTTATGTGATACGTGATCTAGTTTGCATTGCCACGGACGACGCCAAAATGATGCTGCTCAAATGTCGATTGGGCAACCTAAGAGTCTTTGAGCCTACAAGGGTAGAGAATGCCGAGAGTCACTGCCACCTGTCCGATGTAGTCAAAGGGACGACTCCACTCACTAACCTACAAAACAGCTGAAAACAATATGTGACACGTCGGGGGTGGCCCGACGATTGTCCTCAGACGCTCAAATCAGAAAACTATCTCAATATAAGCAACTAATATTAATTAATAGCCCAAATAGTGTGTAACTTATTATGTGAGTCAAATCACATATTTATAGGTGATGGAATAGGTAAATTTCTTAACATCCGATATAGGACAATGAATTGTAACTAAAATCCTATGGAATTTTAGTAGTAGGTGGTAATTGGCTTTTATTACTCATTGGATTGATTTGGACCTTTATAGGCCAAAAATCACAAGTAGGCACATCAAAGTATATATATACTCTGATTTGGTGGGTATCCTAATCGTATAAAAGGAGATAGGCTGTAGGCCTTACAAGCAAGGACTTTTTCAGTACCCATGGGAAGGGGAAGAAAGGCAAGCAAGCGTTGCACGTGGTTTATGATTTTTGTTAATTATTTATATATTTATTAATAATTTATTTCATTAAAATTAAGCTATAATATAAATAAATATTTAATAAATTAGTTATATGATTTAGTATTATGTTAATGTAGATTTCCGACCAGATTAATTTTGCTTGATCTTGATGTAGCACAGTGTTGTGCATAACAAAATCTTCATATTCATTACTTAAAAACTTTTAAAGATAAGTGTAACAATTTTAATTTTTCTTCTTCTTTCATCTAATCCATTTTCGGTGATGTTTTTCTCCCTCGAAATTCTAACATCATTATTTATTTAATCATGTTGAAATATTTACTGAAAAATATTTTCTTATGCTATTATTTTTTTATTACGATATTTGTTTCTTCAACACCTCTCTAAAGACTGTATTAGTAGAATCACTTAATGAGAAAATACAATTATAATTAACTTATTGAGAAAATTAGAAACCTTCATAAAAGAATAATATAGATCGACACGACAAAATGCTAATACATAACCATTTATAAACAGTGATATCTTATTAGGGAAAAAAATAGAATTTTATTTTATATAAGATATTATAATAAACTTTTGTAGCAATATAAGAACTTTGGTATAAAGAAAATATAAAGAATAGTTCATAATTTAAGTTTTACCTCATATATTTTGTACATTTATCTAGGGCCGGGGATCGAGGGAGTGGGGATGGGAATGGATTTACAAGGGTTCGAGGCAGCGCCCCTAATTTATTTTTTTTTGAATTCTTTAGAAAACAAAAATAATTCTAAAGTCTACTTAATGTAATATAAAAATATACATCCATTGAAACTACTTAAATTAAAAAAAAAAAAAAAAAAGAAAAGAAAAGCAGTATAAGTGCCTTTTTTAGTTAGGGGGGAAATAGTCTAAAATATATAATAAAAATAAAAAACTAATAAAAAAAATCATTTTTTTTCTAGATGGGCGGCTCCCCCTTGTGGTGCTCAGTTACGCTCCTGCTTTCATCTACTATAAACAATAAACGACTTACTTTTAAATTTCATCTTTTAATTTATTATATAAATTTATTGAGTGTAAATTTCACTTTTTTCACTCTGTCTTCTGACCTCGAATCACTTTATACCATCGTACACTCAATTGCATCGATTTACCCCGTGCACTTGTACAATTAATGCAATTAAGGCTATGAGGGGGTAGAGTGATTCGAGGTTATAGTAGAAGGGTGAAATATAATTTGCCCATTTATATATGTTTTCCCTCAAGTTACTGTAGATATAATGATATTAATAAAATAAAAAATATTTCATAAACTAATTATTTTGATCTAAAAACATGCATCCCATCCTCCAAAGTTTAATAAAATTAAATTAGAAAGATAAACAAATATACTAATTTTTAATAATATATTATTTAAATATTGAAAGTATTTTGATAGCTACGTATGATAGTGATAGTGAGCATTAATAAGAAATTATAATATGAAAAGTTGCTCTAATACACCAAAAATAAATATTCATTAAATTATCCGGTGACAATTTTATAAATGTGAAAATATAGGTTATTCCTCTAAAAAAAAATACGTTACTTACATACAGAAAAATCAAATCTCTAAAAGTTTGTTTTAATAAGAAAAATTATTAGGGTAAATTCCACTTTACCCCCTTGTACTCTGCCCAAGAACCACTTTACCCCCTCGTACTCTTAATTTCGTCGATTTACCCCCTTGTACTTGTACAATTTCCCAATACAACCCTCTTCATCAATTTTTTTCGATTTTGACTCTGACGCCATTTGGTCAAGAGTCAAAATATTGACGTAAATATTGAATATTTTCGATTTTGACTCTCGAGATTAGAAAAGAGAAAGTTTCACACATTCATATATTTTTTTTTTTTGCACTGGGTGGAATTGATCAATTTTTGGGTCTTGATTTTTACTAAGTTAGGGGTTCAATTTGGGGATATCTTGGAAGGGGAAGTGGTGGGAGAAGAAGAAATAACAATATTGACGGAGGAGAAACGACGCGTTATAGGCAGTGGCAATTTTGTAATTTACAGAGTTTACCAAATGGCGTTAGAGTCTAAATTGACAAAAATTGAAGGAAATGGCTGTATTGGGAAATTGTACAAGTACAAGGGGGTAAATCGATAAAATTAAGAGTACGAGGGGGTAAAGTGACTCTCAGGCAGAGTACGAGGGGGTAAAGTGGAATTTACCCAAATTATTATTTAAAGTTTAGAGTAGCTTAAAAATTATGTAAGATACTACAAAAACATATCAAAAATTATTTGTAATATCAAATATTGCATACCATTTAATTTAACCTTATATGGTTGTCTGTACTTTATTAGCAACTCAAATTTTAGGACTATTTATTTAATCTAATATAATAAGTTGTAGAATTATTTTTTCAATGTTATCTATTTATTTATTTTTATGTGAATTATTTTTTTCTTTATTCTCTTCAAATTACTATAAATGATTGAATACTGACAAATTAAAACATATCATAAATAAATTATTTGAGCTAAATGATGACTGAAATATAGTCAAATAATATATTATTAGAAAACTCTATTAATGTACTTTAATATGAATAAAATATGTTTTCACACTTCAAATTATTTTAGAAGTTAAAATAGAAATAAAATATTAAAAAAACACTTTGAATATGATTTGAAGACCCGATTTGCTTACTCTGTTGGAGATGCCCTAAGGTTTTTAAGTTTTTGTCTTTTTAGATCCTTAAATTCCAGTTTCAGCATATTTAAAAGAAGCTGGAAACAAAATAATGAATTGCACTGATCTCGAAAAAATAAGAATGATATATAGTCATGTTTGGTATCATTAACTAATGTTCAAATTTTACATGCAAAAGGGAAAAAAATAGCACACTACATAGCTCGATTTTTTGTGAGTATACTTTACTGAAGAATGCATATATAGTAGATCATTTTTTTTTCTTATCAAATCTATTTATGTAGCACTGATGCTGCATGGAACGTCTTTATGTAGCAATAGAGCATATATATATATATATATATATATATATATATATATATATATATATATATATATATATATATATATTATACAATCTGATTGTAGAAACATGAATGTTAACATACAACTGAGTGTCTGTAGCCCGTACAAAAGAATGGAGAGCCTTCTTTTTTTGCCCTGGCCAGAATATATATGAAAGGTTTATATTGATGCATAATATATTTGATAAAAGATGGTATTGAAACGTTGCTTTGAAATGAATAGGGAAGAATTGGACCAGTTACACATAAACGTTAGTGTTTAGGAATTATTATCGTTATTTTTTTAAATTATTATTTCTATATTATATAATAGTTATTATTATTATTATATTGATATAATAATAATTATTATTAGTAGTAGTACTATATTATTATTATTATTAATACTATTATTTTATTGTTATTAATATTATATATTTATTACTTTATTATTAATGAATGAATATTAATTATACTACCCAATAACTTCAAAAACGGTATAAGTTACAAATAGGTGTTGATGTTTGATATTTCTATTATTATTATAAATATGATATTACATATTTAGCCCCTTATGCCCTTACCAATTGCCTAGTGAGAAGGGTTTTTTTGTCCTCACAAAAAACGGAAGAAACTCACCCATCATTCCTCCTTTTATAGATAGTATAGATATATATATATCAAAGTTTAAACAATATGTTGTTCAGCTCCTTGTGAACAAATTTTAATTCATAGTATAATTACATGTTAATGTTCTTAAATGAGTTCATTAATTTTCAGGGCAATATTTACTTTCGGAATAAATGCGCTAAATGGAAAAACGATTGAGGAAGGCAGTACTGGTTTTGGTCCGGCGAATGATACACTTGTTGCCAAGGGTCGTTGGGATTATTCGAATGTTGAATCGTTTATTCGTTACACTGTCGAAAAGGGTTACAATGTGTTTGCTTGGGATCTTGGTAAGAAATATCATCTCACTCTCACTAGTTGAAAATTTGCTTATTACTACGAAATTTTTGGCTACGGTAAAAAATCGTAATAAAAGGTACTTTTTACCAGTGTTCTAAATAGCGGTTGTGGCGGTCGATATATCGGCCGCCATATCGGTATCGGTTATAAACCTTTACGATTTTGTTGAGGCGGTTTGGAATATCGGTTTTTTACGGCGAGGCGGTTTGCGGCGGTTTTTTGGTGGGTCGAACCGATATATCGGTCAACAAAACGGTTTTTTTTTTTTTTTTTTAATTTAAATTAAAATGAAAATATATTTTGATTTTTTGTTGTTCTCCAATTCTTTCAACTTCCAAAACCAAACCAAGTACTACCCAGCAATTTATGCTTTGTTGTGTTTATATTAATTGTTGATGCGAAAGACTTGTGTAGTATTTGTATTTCGTAAGAATCTTTTATTATATTATGATCTTATTATTTTCAAGTTTTTGTTATTTATTGAGTAATTAGAATTATACAATAACATATGAATGATAGGATAGAATTATGTTTAAATATTCTTTTATATATATTTTGAGTATTTACAAATAATATTTAGAAATATATTACACTAAATTTAAAAACCGATATATATATTTCCGATTTATCTCCGATAAATCACCGCCGCGCCGATTTATCGTGTGGCGGTCCCTAACCGCCATGTACCCGATAACCGCCTTTTAGAACCTTGCTTTTTACTATGGAACAATTTTGAAGTCGTAGTAAATACTAGTATTTACCGTAGCAAAAAAATATTTGGTACGGCCATTTACCGTAGCAAAGCTTTTGTCACGCCCGTATATGCTACGGGCAAATTTGTAGCAAAAGCCATTTTAGTATGAATTTGATATCTTTTGTTACGGTTAATGATCGTAGTAAAAATCCATTTTTCTACTAGTGTCTACTGACGTTTATTGCATACAGTATCTTCACTATTTATTTTATTTTATTTTTTTATTTTGATCTTGTCAAATAAAAATTATTTTTCCTTCAAATGAAGACTATTTAATAAAAAAAAATCATAATTAATTAGAGAGCATCAGAAACGATGCTAAATAAAAGGAGGGAGTATGTACAAGAAAATGAGTTTTTGCAATAATAAAATCCAACAAGCAAAAAATTCATTGATCCATTCTTTACACATATCAGTAATTTGATTGCTCATTGTTAACCAATCGTCGCACTCTGTTGATGTTTATTTTATGAACCCAACATCAATATAAGAAAACTTATTTGATCCATTTTAAATTTATTGGCAGGGAATGAATTAGGTGGAATCGCAATATATCTTTTCGTGGATGCGGAGCAGTATGCCCGAGACGCGGTTTCTCTACGCAAATTAATAACAAAAATTTATCGAGCAAAGATAAGGGCCCCACGGATAATGGCTCCTGAAAATCTCTTCGAACGTGATTGATTTCAACAATACCTAGAAAAATCAAAAGGCTCACTAAATATAATTAGCCAACACATCTATAATCTTTGGCTTTGGCGCAGGTATATATATATATATATATATATATATATATATATATATATATATATATATATATATATATATATATATATATATATATATATATATATATATATATATTGTTGGGGCTAAATACCTAACACGCAAGTGCACGTATCGCAAACAAGTAGTAAAAGTGGACTCGTGAGAGTCGGATGTCGATCCCACAGGGAATACTCAAATTATCTAATCCTAAGTACCAAATTCTAACAATTATGATTTTTATCCAGCCTACGCAAGGTTGTCGAATTAAATCAATAAAACAATTAAACTAATTAAGAAAGCAAAGAATCACGAGAAAATATCAATATAAAATGAACCTAGGATTTTATCTTCCCCCTATGCAAGAATTGCTCACCCAAAACCCCTCAATTATGATATATATGATTCATGATTATTAACCCGAGACACTAATTTACTCATAACCCGCTGTCGCGTGTATTATGAGTCTATTATTCATAAACGATTCACTATATGTCTATGCAAACCAATTATGAATAAAGCATTAACTAACAAGTCTCGTAAATGGCTACCTAAGGTGATATCTGTATGTCTACGACACCACATGCAATTGACACACTCATCCGGTGAAAACTACTCGAAGGTTCTTATACTTACCGTCTAATTATCAAAATAGCTCTGTCGAGTCAATCCCAATAATCACAGATAAAACACATAAATTGATCAAGTTCATGCACTAACAATCATAACAAGTAGAAGAAATAATCATAAAATCATAATTGCATAATCTCAAGAAAACGGGTTCACCATCCCCACATAGGGTTCCAACAAAATTCTAGATTAAAAACTTAGCTACTCATAACGAAAAACATAATAAAAGTAATAAAAGTCATAGATTAAGAAAAGATAGGTGAAAGAAGAATTATGATGAAGATTCATCAGGCCTTCGTCCTCGTTTCTTCGTTCTCTCGCTCCTCTTGCTCCAAGATTGTGTTCAAAGTTCTTTGATTCGTGCTTGGTTTGCCCTTAAATAGATGTCCCAAATTGGTAGAAGAATTTAGGTTTCCTTGTATGTTTAAAAGTCCAAAATTGTCTCCAGCGTGTTTTGGCGCGGCCGCACGAAAATCAGTGCAATTCTCACACGGTCGCGCGAGAATCGCCGAAACCTTCTGCCCAACTTCTACAGTTAGCACGGCCGTGCCAAAAATAGGCTAAATTTGGCACGACCGTGCGGGCCACTTAGGTATATATATATATATATATATATATATATATATATATATATATATATATATATATATATATATATATATATATATATATATACACACATATATATATATATATGATAGTAATATATCTATCTATCATATATGATCTATATATCATCTATTTATATATAACTCATATATATATCTATTTATATATATGTATATATCTATCTCTATTTATACAAACTAATT